GTTCAATACTTATATACCGGTATATACAGTATATATGGCCTGCAAAAATATTTAGTGAATGAGAAATCAACATCACATCAACTTGCATTTGTAACAAGACAACCAGGTTTATTCACTTCTGTTATGGCTGATTGGAGGAAGTTAAGTTAGGATTAACCTATGTGAAATGTATTTTCCATCATTCTTTTGTTCCTATCATTATCCTACATAGAGTGGGAGCTTTTGGTTTCCTGTCTCTTCCTGACAACAAAAACATCCAGGGCAACGCAGGACTTCTGGACCAACGCTTAGCGCTCAAATGGGTAGCCAGTAACATTGCTGCATTTGGAGGAGATCCAATGAAGGTAACATGCCTACATGCTTTATTTTCTGTTACCACAATAAAGCATATTTAAGTTACTGAATGCACACTGCAAAGCTTGTGGATTCTGAAATGATTTTGTTTTTAGGTGACTATCTTTGGAGAAAGTGCAGGGTCAGCATCTGTGGGCTTCCACATTCTCTCTCCCGGCAGCCAGAGTTTCTTTCAAAGAGCTGTGATGCAGAGTGGCTCACCAAATGCACCCTGGAGCACAATAAGCCAAAGTGAAGCCAGGGACAGGTATTGAGCGTTTATGTACTTTTCAGCTCACTTCTTTGTACTACATGCAGTAGATGTCAGCTGACCAATGGCATTTAACTCTGGATAAAATTAATTTGGAGCTGAATTTTTGATAAAAGAAATCGTTAGATTACTCCAAACGTCTGTAAACCGGCAAAATGAGGGAACATCTGTGTCAATTACAGACAATCTGTTCACGTGAGCAGTTGTCAGCACCTGTCATCCTCCAGATGCATGAAGGAGCGTGTGTCTGAGCCAATCACTTTCGTTGACATTGAAAAGCAACTGATTTAAATACACCTTAACATTCATGAGGTACTTTGCATTGACTGTTTATGGTTGAGTGTGGGTGTGTAGAGGGCAGAACCTGAGGCGGTGTCGTAATTGTGGCAGGAATAAACCCAGGTTGCAGTCTGGCTCAAGAAGGTCAAACAAAAGTATTTATTAAGTAACAAAAACTGCTGTAAGGACAGCTTTACTTACAAAAAATCACGGAGGTCACAGGCACGAGGGAACAGGACACAGCAAACAAAAACAAAATGATCCGACGACAGACAAAGACAAGACAGGGCTTAAATACTCAGAAAACTAATTGCTAAACAGAACACACCTGGGGAGAAACACAAGGGTGGTAATCAAGGAAATGTGAGACAGCTGGGATGAYAAACACAGGGGAACTCTGAAAACACTAAGAAACTAAGAAAATAAACACAGATCATGACAGGCGGGACCTTGTACGCAAACTCTGAGGTGCAGCTGTGATGTAAAAAGGAAAGATTCGCAGAAACGTGCGTACGCACGGTTTTATGAACCTGGATTTTTTTTTTGGCGTGTGCCATTTTCGCCTTTTGGCCGTACGTTCATTTTTAGTATGGTTTCCACACAATCCTTTATAAATCTGACCTCAGGTTAGTTTCAGGGTATGTGCAGACATGCCTCTTCTTTTGTCCTATGAAACCAATGAATAATTATTTCAGTATTACACCATAATCTGGGGTAAATCCCTTATCCTAGTTTTGTGCATGAGGTCCTAGGATATTTCTCTATTGAAAAGACCACCTTTATATATATATATAT